AAAACAATGTAACAAAATTTGAGATAAGGTCTTCAAAGAGGCAATGAAGTTAAAATGAGATCTTTAGGATGGTCCCAAATCCAGTATGACTCCTTACAATCAGAGGAAAATTGGACACAGACAAGAAGGCACACAGGGGAAAGACCATGTGAACAGAGGGAGAAGGTTGCCCTCTGCAAATCAAAGAGAGAGGCCTCAAAGAATCCAACCCTGAAAACACCTTGATCTAGGACTTCTAGCCCCAGAACTGTGAGAAAATAAACTTCTGTTGTTTAAGCTACCCAAACTGTGAGATTTTGTTATGGCAGTCTGAGCAGACAAAGCTCTTGCAACAGGAATAATACTGATGAAAGGACTAGTGCTGATGTCTGGTAATCAGGCTGAGGTGAACCCACTTGTAAGAGTGAAACTAGCTAAACCATGTCTATACAAGGACACAGGATTTTTGGAGGCAAATGAGGAAGGAGGAAAAGAATTGGGGGTGGTCTTACTGCTGCTTGTACAGAAGGGAGCGGTTGTCATCACTCCCTGTGCCCTTATAGTTGACCTTAGGAGGGAGGCTGCTCTGTTTGAAGCAGGCCTCTGGATCCACAGACTTGAAAGAAAATCTCAAGTCCTTAGTCCTTAGGTATTTGTGTGTTCCAGCTGTAAAGTGTCAGGCCCTTAAGGGCAGCTGAAGCCCTTGACTGAGTCCAGCCTGCTGTCAACAGGTATGTGAATCTATATCCAGGTGTGCAGGGAAACTGTCTTCTTGTGGTCTTAGGAGTCACAGAACAAAAAATCTTTGATGTAGGAGGAATTCTCAAATAGCTTAATCCTCCAATTCCTTATTTTATGCATAAGTAATGAAATCTGGGGTGGTGTTATGACCAGCCTGGTCAGTGAGCCAGAATCTGGTGTTAGAGGAAAGAGAGTAAGAGGCAGCTCCTTTTGGGGGTAGCAGGGAGGCCTCTAGGTCCTATATTATTGGAGGATTGATCACTGAAGAGAGCAGGGAAGGAGACAGGCTTCATCTGGACTTCATATATCCCCAAAGCCAGGTCTTCCCTCATTTTGCTTTTTAATTAAATTGCTGCAATACACTTTTTCCATAATTGATATAGTTGATACATAATGTTACACTAGTTTCAGGTGTACAACATAATGAGTTGGCAACTGTATATATTCTGCTGTGCTTATTATTAGTGTAGCTACAAGATGACACCATACACCACTACTACAATCTCATTGACCATTTTCCCTACAGTGCAACTACTATTAGTCCTGAGACAATTTTAACCTGAGAGATATGTTCCTCCCCTGAACAGCAGAGTTTGCTTTGGGTAACCTCATTCTGAATGTTTTGCGTACATTTCTATTGTCTACTTCTTCCCACTGGCCTCTGAGAATACTGAGGGCAGGAAACATTTCCATTGTCACCATCTTCCCTTATACAGAGGTGCTGAGGATCACAGTCACATGCTGGTTTATGAAATGAAGGCAAATGTGGTGGTCTGAAATAAAGTTCTATTCAGACCTTAGGAAGGATAGGAAACATTTCCACTCCATACCTATCTTGCAATTAGACTACCAACATTTGCTTCTGTGGGCTTCTTGAGCCATTTAGATTCCTTCTCAGATCACACACTCATTTTCCTATCACTGACTTCATGGGACTTAACTATATTTAAATTAGAAAATGGTACTCAATATGAGGTGATGTCATGTCTTTTGGGTAGTCAACTTTTGGATTCTCTCAAATTGGCAGAAGGCAAAAGACATAAAATGTCTTTTATGGTACATGAATCACAAACTATTTGGTCAAATCAAATGATAGCTGCCATTGTCAGGGTATTTTGCATTCACCATGCTTCCAGAGATGGCCCAGAGCCATGAACTCAGCCCTGTGGCCTCAGCACTCAGAGCACACTCAGGGTCTCAGTGGGCCACTCTGGCTCTGTCACATATAGGAGCCCAACCAGTGTTGGATGGTGATGGTGAAGGAATGATGGTAGAGCCTCTGTGGGAAGTGGGGTAGAGGCAAGCCAGGTGCCTCTTGAACCCATACACCCAAGGGTGCAGCTCCCCAAGACTGGCCATGGTGCTAGCAGGCAGAGAAGGAGAGTTTTCAAGGCTTCGATGACAAAGGATAGGGAGTTAGCTCTTTGGATCCCTCCTCAAATTTGAGTAAAAACACACATCCAATGAAATGGGGAAGGGAGGTACTGAAATGGAATAAAAACCTACTGGGAGTCAGACTGTATTCTGGAAACTGTTCCTAATTTCAGGAGGTTCATTTGCCAGGGCTGCCATAACTAAATACCATGGACTGGGGGGGCTTACACAGCAGAAGTGGATTTTCTCACTCTTAGGGAGGCTGGAAGTTTAAGATAAAGGTTCCGCTAGCTTTTTTTTTTTTCTTACTCCTTTTTTTTTTTAATTGGAGTTCAATTTGCCAACATATATTGTAACACCCAGTGCTCATCCCGCCAAGTGCCCCCCTCAGTGCCCATCACCCAGTCACCCACCACTAACTTTTGCCTCTCCTGAAGCCTCTCTCCTTGGCTTGTAGATGGCTACCTTCTGCTGTGTCCTCACATGGCCTTTCTATGTGTGCATCTCTGGTGTCTCTCCCTTTTCTAAGGATGCCAGTCCTATTGAATAGGGTCCCACCCATCTGAGGTCAGTTAACTTTCATTATCTCCTTAAAGAACCTCCTATAAATACAGTCACAATGGGAGTTAGGGCTTCAACATAGGAATTTGAAGAATTTGTACTTCTGAGAATAGATGTAGAGAGACAGGATATGAGGTGAAGCTTGTGGGAATATTCAGTGATATAAGAAACCTCTACTTCCTAATTTGGGAGTTGAGTTCACAGGTATTTATATCTTGCTTTATTCTGTGTGTATGTATGGGAATAATATCATATATATCCTACTGTAGCTAGCTGCTGAATCCATATTGCACTTAGAAAATGTAATAAAAGACAATGCCAAGGGTGAAGAACATTGTCAGCAGACATTATCTTTTTCAACAGACTATATTTTAGAGCAGTTTTAGGTAAACAGCAAAATCAAGCAGAAGGTTATGTACCCCTCGCCCTCACAGAAGTACAATGTCCCCACTGTCAACAACTCACACCATTGTACCATTCATGAATCAAAACTGACCCATCTTTATTCCTCTATGCCCATAGTTTACATTGAGTTCCCTCTTGGTGTTGTATATTCTATGGGATTTGACAAAAGTATAATTTATCCACCACTGATCCACCACTATCATGTCACACGAAGTGGTTTCACTGCTCCAAATGGCCTCCGTGCTTCACCAATTTATCCCTCCCTCTCTTGAACCCTTGGGAACCATTGGTATTTTTATTGACTCTATCTAATAAAAGCTCTATTGGCTTTTTCAGAATGTTATACAGTTAGAATCATGCAGTATATAGCCTTTCCAGATTGGTTTTGCTCACTTGGTAATATGCATTTCAGTTTCCTCCATGTCTTTTCACATCAGCTGTCATTTAAGGAGCCTTCTGAATGCTTAATGGTAAGTGGAAGTCCTTCAGGTCACTAGTCCCTGGTGACACTTCTGAACCCTCAGGTGACCATCCAAGGAATGAATATGGAATTGGCATTGGGCATGCTGGAAAGAGATAGATCTTCAGAGTTCTAAGGGAAAATAATGTTGTATCCAGAATCCTATAGTCAGTTAAACTATTTATTGATAAAGTGATTACAAAATAAAGACATTAATTGGAAATATGAAGACTCAGAACGTTTACAACACAGAGAACTTTTTTCTCACTTTGAGAATGGATGCAATGTAAATGAACAGGGAATCCAAGAAGCACCAGCCCCACCAAAGTAATGAACAGATATGAGTGTGGCTTGTGTTTCAGGCTGGGAGAGCAACTAGTCCAAGTGAGAATGGGAATTGGATGTGTTACACAGAACAACTTCAACAAGAATCCTAGCCTGCTCTTCCTCAAGGAAGTGCTCAGATTCTACTGTCATTTACTCTCCCTCCCACTACAAAGCATCACTTTCCTTTTTTCCCTGCTTTTTCTTCTTAAATATAGAGCTTCAAACTAGATAACTATGTGTGGCCTGAAGCTTGATGAAATGGCCTGTGAATGGTGGCAGTGGCTACATATCCAGGGGTCAAGGAGGGAAGGGCTGTGATTGAAGTCCTCCTTCATGCTGAGTCCATGTAGGAGTATCACAGAAGGAAGATGTTACTCACAACTGCCAGTTCTTAAGGAGCTTCTTGTTGGTATTATCTGTTATCTGTTGTGGAACAAATACCCTCAAACTTAATGGCTTAAAACAAGTGTTTATTTGCTGACTGTTTCTAGGGGTCAGAAATCTAGGAGCGGTTTTAGTTGTGTGGCTCTGGATAAGGGCCTCTCCTGAGATGTTGGTAGTCAAACTATTAGCTAGGCTGCATCTTCCGAAGTCTTGCTGGGGCTGGATGATTTACTCTCAAGATGACTTACATGGGTAGCTGTTAATGCAGGCTGCCTCTGTTCTCCTCCACATAGTCTCTATTCTTTAGGGCCTCTCTAGGGGATTAGTTTAAACTTTCTTTTTTTTATAATAAATTTATTTTTTATTGGTGTTCAATTTGCCAACATACAGAATAACACCCAGTGCTCATCCCGTCAAGTGCCCCCCTCAGTGCCCGTCACCCATTCACCCCCACTCCCCGCCCTCCTCCCCTTCCACCACCCCTAGTTCGTTTCCCAGAGTTAGGAGTCTTTATGTTCTGTCTCCCTTTCTGATATTTCCCACACACTTCTTCTCCCTTCCCTTCTATTCCCTTTCACTATTATTTATATTCCCCAAATGAATGAGAACATATAATGTTTTTTCTTAATAATAAATTTATTTTTTATTGGTGTTCAATTTACCAACATACAGATCAACACCCAGTGCTCATCAGGGCAAGTGCCTCGCTCACTGCCTGTCACCCATTCACCCCCACCCCCCACCCTCCTCCCCTTCCACCACCCCTAGTTCGTTTCCCAGAGTTAGGAGTCTTTATGATCTGTGTCCCTTTCTGATATTTCCCACACATTTCTTCTCCCTTCCCTTATATTCCCTTTCACTATTATTCATATTCCCCAAATGAATGAGAACATACACTGTCCTTCTCCGATTGACTTACTTCACTCAGCATAATACCCTCCAGTTCCATCCATGTTGAAGCAAATGGTGGGTATTTGTCATTTCTAATGGTTGAGGAATATTCCATTGTATACATAAACCACATCTTCTTTATCCATTCATCTTTCGATGGACACCGAGGCTCCTTCCACAGTTTGGCTATTGTGGACATTGCTGCTAGAAACATCGGGGTGCAGGTGTCCCGGTGTTTCATCGCATCTGTACCTTTAGGGTAAATCCCCAACAGTGCAATTGCTGGGTCATAGGGCAGGTCTATTTTTAATTCTTTGAGGAACCTCCACACAGTTTTCCAGAGTGGCTGCACCATTTCACATTCCCACCAACAGTGTAAGAGGGTTCCCTTTTCTCCACATCCTCTCCAACATTTGTGGTTTCCTGCCTTGTTAATTTTTCCCATTCTCAGTGGTGTGAAGTGGTATCTCATTGTGGTTTTGATTTGTATTTCCCTGATGGCAAGTGATTAAATTTTCTATGGTTACTGAACAGAGAGAGGGAGAGGAAGAGGGAGAAAGAAAGGGTGAGATTGGGGGATAGAGAGTAGGAACAGGGGTAAAAGAAAGTGAGTGTGTGAACAAAGAGTATTTATAAGACAGGAGCTGCAGACTTTTCAAAACAAAATTTTGGAATTCTTGGACATTCCATTCTTGCTGCCATATTCCATTAGTCACTCCAGAGAAGGATTAAACAAAGCCATGAAAATAGGAGATAATGTTGGAGGCCGTCTAAAAGTGCCTATCACTGGGATCCCTGGGTGGCGCAGCGGTTTGGCGCCTGCCTTTGGCCCAGGGCGCGATCCTGGAGACCTGGGATCGAATCCCACATCGGGCTCCCGGTGCATGGAGCCTGCTTCTCCCTCTGCCTGTGTCTCTGCCTCTCTCTCTCTGACTATCATAAATTAAAAAAAAATAAATAAAAGTGCCTATCACTGACCTAGGGGCAGGACTAGATTGTGTTTTCCATTTCTATTTGATCCCACCCCTGCTGGGATTCCCTGTGACACTGAGGAGGAAGCTTTCATCAGAGGTTCTGATCACTTTCTCTTCTGGATTATCTCTCCTAATTTGTCTTTGACTGCTTTTCTATGTTAGCTTCTTATGTGGTAAAATACATGGTCTCAAATTCCCCAGTAGACCTCAGGCTTTCTGGTATTTGGTGTTGACCTGGTTTTCTTCTTGGCTCAGCTATGGGAGGCTCCAGTGGGTTTGAGTTCTTCTTTACCCCCTCTCATGATCATTCAGGAGAAGCAGGTTAGGGTTGGGTTTACTCTAAGAACTCTGCGCCTATAACCACTGTGACCTCTAAAATCCTTTGACCACTCATCTACATTTCTCTCCCTCTTCCCTCATTCTCTGGTGATCTCAGGATGCAGGATAATGCTGTGTATAGGACTGTCATCTGTTTCCTGAATTTTCTAAAGGAAAACTGAACAAGGTGAATTGAAAAAGAAAGATGCAACTATGCTTTCAAGGCTTTCATGTGATTGCAGGTTTCTCCCAGCAGACTCTTCCTTTTCCACTGGATGGACAATCTGAGGACACTCACTTTCTGGTGAAGCTGTCTTTCAGTGTTATCCCTTCTTAGCCATGAAAAGAAGGAATGATAATACCAAACATATATAGAATTACATGCTTAGCACCATTCTAAGTCCTTTATGCTTTAACTCATTAAATCTTCACATTGCCTGGATGTGGATGGATATATTATCACCATATTAACTATTGGGAAACTAAGACAGTGAAATGTCAGCTGACTTGCCCAAGGTCACACAGCAAGGGCATGCTGGAGCCAGGATTTGACCATAGGATTCTTAACCACTCCATTATGCCTCTTTCAGTTCACTTCCATTCAATGCTAATTTCACTCTCCATCCCAGTGACTATTTATGATAACTTCTGATAAACACTCCTTTTTGAGCAGAAGTCTGAAGATTGTCCAAAATTTTACACATTAGGCTAGTTCAGATGTCTACCAAATCCAGATTGGACTCCACACTAGGGGAAATATTCCCAGGTAAATAGAGTAAGGTGATGGTGGTGATGGGGAATGATGCAGGGAAGGACAGTTGCTCTTGTGAGGACTGAATAATTCCTACAGTGGTGAGAACCCAGTTATGATACTTCTCCACCAGGAGGTGGAGAATGAGGTTTCAAATTTTATCTGAAAAAATTGTTTTAAAATGCCATTTTTATTACATATATGCCCAGCAAGGAGAAAAATCTAGATCTAGGGTCTGGAATGGTTTCCAATTAGGAGAATTTTCATAGAGTCTATATAGTTTCGGTTAACTGTATAAATAGTGAGATCATAGACCATGGGTTAGTTCCCTCAAAACTGATGGTCAAATTTAGTTTCCTTTGACAACATTGGGGGTAACTTTGGCAAATAACACAACATAACAGATAACCTTAAGTGAAAAAGCATTTCTCCTTAGCAAACATAATTTAACAGGTACTACTTCCTATGACAAGCCTACTATCAGCATGTGTAAGTGAAGAGCATGAAACCTCTCAGAGGTGTGAGTGTCAGTGTTTGGTATTTACAATAGTCAGGTTTACTTTTCCACTCAACAATTTTCCCATGCCAGTAATAGCGACCCTTCAGTTTATCTCCTATATCCTTTTTTGGATAAAGTGATATGGACATCTACTGAGGGGAGGTATAAGGGCAGAGCTTTACAGAATGCCAGACTGGCCTTGGATCCTGGCACCATTACACAATACTTTTCAGAGAACAGCTAAACAGATACTCCCCATCATGTTTCCCTAAAGGGAATATCCCAAAGGATGTTCTCTCCTCTGCCTCTAGGTGTGCCTCTATAAGTCCATGGACCGAGAGGTGAGAAGTGAAGGAACAGGGGCAAACCAAGAGGCCTTGGAAAAATGATGCTAACATTAAGTGACATGGGGATGTCAGAATGAGACTGTATGTCACACTGTGCAATTTGTTTCCACCTTTGGATCCCAGCTCATTTAATAAATGATAAGAAGTAGGGCGTATTTGAAAGTTTGCTGAGATATGGGTTCAAAATGATCTAGTCAGCTCATTTACATTAAAGAACTAAGAACTGATAAAAGTGGAAGTAACTGAGCTTGACCGAGAATTCAGAAAGGGTACAGTGTGAGGAGAGGACCTCAGATGTCCTGACTTTCTCCAAGAAGGATCTTCTGAGACCTCACTGTTTAGATGATGGCATCTGCCAGAATTTTCTTCAGGATGGTCTTGGTGTCCTCGGCAACTATTTCAAGGAGGTGTCCCTGACTCCACCATTTAAGGTAGTGGATACCAGTGGTACCTAAGATTGGGATGTAGCTCAGAACTGAATATAAGTAAGAGGCTGCATTACAATTCATCCATGATAATGCCCAGTTCCAGGCTAGGGCAGTGTGCAGATCCTGAGACTTCATGATGGCCTTGTACTCCTCCATGGGTTTTCCCATACTTTGGGCCACCTCCTGGAGAGAGTCATCATCCACACCAAAAAGCCTGTGGTAGGCATTCAAAAACTCCCCAAGATCATTTGCATTCTGGATGCCAAGGATGTTCTGGAAAGACTCTGAGCCTATTTGCCCCTGCAAAGTGGTCACTTTGCCATTAATGACCTTTTCACAGGTGTGAGTTAGGTTCTCTAGGTGATCACGGTACCCAATGTTAGATATGTCTCTGTGCAAGCTTTTCCTGAGCTCTGGGAAGTCATGCAAGAAGGGGTTGAAGCTGGAGACCAGGAATATGATGGGTTCACACACTCCCTCCTTGTGGAGAGTTTCCCTGATATTCTCCCGAATATTCCGCAGGAGTTGTTCTTCTGAAAGGACACGTGTACTGAGGTCTCTGTCTAACTTGGTCCAGACGATGTAAAACCTCTTTCCTTGTCCCTGGATGCTTTTGACAAGCTTCACGAGATTCATGCTGAACTGTTCAGATGCAATGATGATGAAGAGGTCATACTTGCTAAACTGCATTTCCTCCAGATAGGTCTCTAGGCTTTGGGTGGCAGTGCCTGTGCCAGGCAGGTCCCACAGCTCCACATTGGGGATGTCAGAGAAAGAGTAGCAAGTGGGAATCTGGGTGGTTCTCACCACCCCTGTGGGAGCTGAGTCCTCTTCATTGTGCCCAATTTTCCGCAATGCATTGATGAATGTGGACATGCCGTTGCCAGAGTCCCCAGTCACTGCAATGCTCACTGGGACACTGGATGCTGTCTCCAGGGTCTCCCTGACCACAGAGACCATGTCCAGCAACTTCCCTTCTCCCAAGGCTTTTTCAATATTCATGGCACCCGATTCAGATAAGATGCTCCCACCCTTATGGTATGGCACAGTAGAAGTGAAGGATGTAGGTGATAGAGTGTGAAGGGACTGGGTGGGCTGTGCCATGTATCTGATGAGTGCAGTAACCTGCAGAAATAGGAAAAACAGGGAAGTTAGGAGGACTAGGCACACAGGGTGAGAGAGGAATCATCAGATTTTGTATCCCAAATGGACGGTAACAGTTCCATATTTAACTCATTGTAGAGACCTTCAGATGAGAAACAGCAAGGCTCTGCAAAAGTGTTTGATAGTGTCTCAAAAATCTAAAAATATTATTCAGCCATAGAAAACAAATCCTATCATTTGTGACAACATGGTCTTTGAAAGCATCATACTAAGTAAAATAAATCAGAGACATATGCTGAATTATCTAACTGATGTGTGGAATCTAAAAGTAAAATAAAATAAAATAAATTCATAGGAAAAGAGATCAGACTTGGGGAGAGGTGGAGGAAGTGAGTGAGAGAAGGGGAGATAGGAGGAAGTGTCCAAAAGGTACAAGATTTCAGTTTTAAGAAAAGTAAGTACCAGGGATGTAATTTACCACCTGATGACTACAGATAACACCACAGGATAATTTATAGGAAGGTTGTTAAGGGAATAAACCCTAAGAGTTCTCATTACAAGGAAAACTTTTTCTATTTTTTCTTTCTTTCTTTTTTTTGTATTTTTATGAGATGATAGATGTTAGGTGAACCTGCTGTAGTAATCATTTCACAATATATGTAAATCAAATCAACATGATGTATGCCTTAAACTTACAGAGAGATGTATGTCAATAATATTCCCATAGAACTGATAAAATAATTTAAATAGAGTCACCAAATGATGCAGCAATTCCACTGCTAGATATATACTCAAGAGCAGTGACAACATACATCTATGAAAAACCTGCATGCAAATGTTCATAGCAATATTATTCATAATAGCCCTCAGGTGGAAATAGCACAGCTGTCCACCCACTGTTCAATGGATCAACAAAAGTGGTCTATCCATACAAGAGAACAGCATTTGGAAAAAGAAAAACGAAAAAAAAAGATGAAGTACTGATACCTGCCACAACACGGATGAACCCAGAAACTTTATAAGCTCAGTGAAAACAGACAGCCCATTGCATCATGTATTATATGATTCTATTAATGTGAAATGTCTAGAAAAGGCAAATCCATAGACATAGAAAATATATTGGGGATTTCCTAGATATGTAGGGCATTGATTTGAGAGGCAGCAGTCAAGAAATGCAGGATATATTTTGGATAATGAAAACTTCTGAATTTGATTATGATGACATTACAAGTTTGTGAATATATTGAAAGCTATGGAAAACTTTAAAGGCCCAAATTGAAGAATGTGTAAATTATATCCCCATATTAGGAGATTAGTACATGTTAGTGACTCAGAGGAGGAATGCCATGCAGCTGTGGTGCCAGGAGGTAGCACCAAAGCAGGTTACAGATGTGAGTGGCCTTGCACAGAAGAGCATTATGAGGGTCTCTGTGTCAGGAGTCAGGCAGGTGCAAGTACTCCTCTGCTCCAACTGAAAGAGTAGGATGTCCCACTGGGGAGTCAGCAGGGCATTAAGTAAGCTTGTGACAATACTAAATATCATTCAATCCTGGGGACCCACACATCCTCATTGCATATGTCTTCAGAGTCAAGAAGAATTTAATTACTTTTGGTAACAGTGAAAAGTACATCTTCTTTCCTCTCAAGATGCCTGGGTGAACATCTGTCTTTGGCTCAGGACTTGACCCCCCCGGACTGGAGATCAAGTCCTGCACTGGGCTCCCTGTGGGGAGCCTGCTTCTCCCTCTGCCTCTCTCCTGTGTCTCTCATGAATGAATGAATGAATGAATGAATGAATAACTTTTTATGGTGAAAAAATTTATATTTAGATTTATAGCTGGCTGGACTCAGTTTAGATGATCCCAATTTTGTTGGCAACATCCAAAGCATCATAGTCAGGAGCCAGTAGAACGAACATATGCTTTCTTCTCTCCATCAGGCCTGATCAAGGTGTTGCCCTTGGCCACATCAATGTCATAGAGCCTCTTCACAGCCTGTTTGATCTGGTGCTTGTTGGCCTAGACATCCACGATGAACACACGTGTGTTGCTGTCTTCTATTTTCTTCATGGCTGACTCAGTAGTTAGGGGGAACTTGATGATGGCATAGTGATCAAGCTAGTTTCTCCTGGGGGCACTCTTTCGAGGATATTTGGTCTGCCTTCGGAGACGCAGGGTCTTGGGTCTTCGGAATGTAGGTGATGTGCGGATCTTTTTTTTGTGACTGTGCACACCTTTCAGCACCACTTTCTTAGCTTTCAAAGCCTTTGCTTTGGCTTCGGCTTTGGGAGGGGCAGGGGCTTCCTTCTTTGCCTTCGTTGCCACCTTCGTCAAAGGAATCTAAATAAATAACTTTTTAAAAAAAGAATACCAAACCCAGAAATTGACCCTCAACTCTATGGTCACCTAATCTTGGACAAAACAGGAAAGTATATCCATTGGAAAAAAGACAGTTTCTTCAATAAATGGTGTTGGGAAAATTGGACAGCCATGTGCAGAAGAATGAAACTAGACCATTCTCTTACACCATACACAAAGATCAACTCAAAATGGATGAAAGATCTAAATGTGAGACAAGAATGCATCAAAATCCTAGAGGAGAACACAGGCAGTAACCTCTTTCACCTCAGTCACAGCAACTTCTGGCTAACCACATCTCCAAAGGCAAGAGAAACCAGAGCAAAAATGAACTAATGAGACTTCATAAAGATAAAATGCTTCTACACAGCAAAGGGAACAGTCAACAAAACTAACAGGCAACAACCTACAAAATGGGAGAAAATATTTGCAAATGACATATCAGATAAAGAACTAGTAACCAAGATCTATAAAGAACTTGGCTATAACTCATCTATTTGCAGTCTACAAGAGACTCATTTTAGACAGAAGGACACCTACAACCTGAAAATAAAAGGTTTCCTCAAAAGAAAGCAGGGGTAGCCATCCTTATATCAGATAAACTAAAATTTACCCCGAAGACTGTAGTGAGAGACGAAGAGGGACACTATTTCATACTTAAAGGATCTATCCAGCAAGAGGACTTAACAATCCTCAATATATATGCCCCAAATGTGGGAGATGCCAAATATATCAATTAATAACTAAAACTAAGATATACTTAGATAATAATACACTTTTACTTGGTGACTTCAATCTAGCGCTTTCTACACTTGATAGGTCTTCTAAACACAACATCTCCAAAGAAACGAGAGCTTTAAAAGATACACTGGACCAGATGGATTTCACAGATATTTACAGAACTTTACATCCAAACTGAACTGAATACACATTCTTCTCAAGTGCACATGGAACTTTCTCCAGAATAGACCACATACTGGGTCACAAATTGGGTCTGAATCGATACCAAAAGATTGGGATCATCCCCTACATATTCTCAGACCATAATGCCTTGAAATTAGAACTAAATCACAACAAGAAGTTTGGAAGGACCTCAAACACGTGGAGGTTAAGGACCATCCTGCTAAAACATGAAAGGGTCAACCAGGAAATTAGAGAAGAATTTAAAAGATTCATGGAAACTAATGAGAATGAAGATACAACCGTTCAAAATCTTTGGGATGCAGCAAAAGCAGTCCTGAGGGGGAAATACATCTCAATACAAGCATCCCTTCAAAAACTGGAAAGAACTCAAATACAAAAGCTAACCTTACACATAAAGGAGCTAGAGAAAAAACAGCAGATAGATCCTACACACAGCAGAAGAAGAGAGTTAATAAAGATTCTAGCAGAACTCAATGAAATCGAGAGCAGAAGAACTGTGGAACAGATCAGCAAAACCAGGAGTTGGTTCTTTGAAAGACTTAATAAGATAGATAAACCATTAACCAGCCTTATTAAAAAGAAGAGAGAGAAGACTCAAATTAATAAAATCATGAATGAGAAAGGAGAGATCACTACCAACACCAAGGAAATACAAAAGATTTTAAAAACATATTATGAACAGTTATATGCCAATAAATTAGGCAATCTAGAAGAAATGGACGCATTCCTGGAAAGCCACAAACTACCAAAACTGGAGCAGGAAGAAATACAAAACCTGAACAGACCATTAACCAGGGAGGAAATTGAAGCAGTCATCAAAAACCTCCCAAGACACAAAAGTCCAGGGCCAGATGGCTTCCCTGGGGAATTCTATCAAACATTTAAAGAAGAAACCATACCTATTCTACTAAAGCTGTTTGGAAAGATAGAAAGAGATGGAGTACTTCCAAATTCGTTCTATGAAGCCATTATCACCTTAATTCCAAAACCAGACAAAAACCCCACGAAAAAGGAGAATTATAGACCAATATCCCTGATGAACATGGATGCAAAAATTCTCAACAAGATACTAGCCAATAGGATCCAAAAGTACATTAAGAAAATTATTCACCATGACCAAGTAGGATTTATCCCCGGGACACAAGGCTGGTTCAACACTCATAAAACAATCAATGTCATTCATCATATCAGAAAGAGAAAAACCAAGAACCATATGATCCTTTCATTAGATGCAGAGAAAACATTTGACAAAATAGAGCATCCATTCCTGATCAAAACTCTTCAGAGTGTAGGGATAGAGGGAACTTTCCTCGACATCTTAAAAGCCATCTACGAAAAGCCCACAGCAAATATCATTCTCAATGGGGAGGCACTGGGAGCCTTTCCCCTAAGATCAGGAACAAGACAGGGATGTCCACTCTCACCACTGCTATTCAACATAGTACTGGAAGTCCTAGCCTCAGCAGTCAGACAACAAAAAGAAATAAAAGGCATTCAAACTGGAAAAGAAGAAGTCAAACTCTCCATCTTCGCCGATGACATGATACTGTACGTAGAAAACCCAAAAGACCCACCCCAAGATTGCTAGAACTCATACAGCAATTTGGCAGCGTGGTAGGATACAAAATCAATGCCCAGAAGTTAGTGGAATTTCTATACACTAACAATGATACTGAAGAAAGAGAAATTAAGGAGTCAATCCCATTTACAATTGCACCCAAAAGCATAAGATACCTAGGA